ACTTTATTCAGAGATAAGAGAAGGACTAGTGAGAGCCACTTACTGGCTAAATGAATAGGAGTGGGGGAGCCCACATCCCAATCAGCAAGAGCGTCTGATTATTTCATACTTTGTTTTTGTGCTTGCATTTTTTGTGACCATATATTTAGCATATATAATATGCCTGAATAAGTAAGTTTTTAGTTTGTACCATACAACATTTATTTTCCTGTGTCGAATGAGTAGATATGATGGAAGATGTTTAAATCACAAATAAATTAAGGTTCAATCTTCTGTTCTAAATATATGAATACTCATGCTGGCAGAATTGTTGCTCTCAAAGCTCATTGATACTGATGAACTGATGAAAAGTTTCAAACTGAGGTGTCTGGAAATGCCCCCTTGTGGCAACTTATTTTCTGTTTCATATATCATCCCCAATGTCCAACTCCAAGGTCTCCACTTATTCTGGTGCTCAGGTTTCCATTCAGATATGTATATGCAATTCATCTGATATTCTATAACAATAATGCTAATTATTTGCACAAAGGCCCATACTACCTTTTTCATTGCCCCTTACTGCCTGAGCACTGATCTTAAAAATTATGAATTCCTTTTATTCTGCGTGTATACTACAGCCTCTTTGATGTAAAAGGAGTAGACTAAAACCTTTTGAAACTTCGCCTGTATAGTTTACATATACCAGAAAAGTGGATAGAAGATACCCAATGAATTATGGTATTATAGTATATATTGATATAGTGGAATAATCTGAGCATTATTACATTTACAAGTGTCACTGTGGCCAAAGCTGTTCAGTGTTAGTGCGTAAACTCCAAATGTACACATTTTCTAAAGCTTTCTTATCTGGTCTGCACTTCACACATACTTCTAGTGAGCAGTTTATCTTGATTTTTGTTTCTCACGGTAGGTATATATTTGTGATATTTTGCAATTTGATCAGGTTTTAAAAAGATTTTCTTCTCCTGAAGTTGCTTCATCATGGAATCACTAGGGACACATCTAATGAAATATGATTATACCACATTGAGCCAATTGTGCCATGAAAAAAAAAACTATTCTATAAAAGAACTACAAATTCTTGGGTCTAACAATCTCATAATCTTTAAAGTGGGATGTCAACACTGGGATGGAAAGAATCCTCACCTCTGGTTAACTGTGTGGTGTGGGAACACCTCAGCATAAGACAGCAAATGTCTGGACAAAATGGTTCACAGTGCACCAAAGATTACAGGAACCCCCTGCTGAAATCTTGAGTTAGACTAAGGGACAAGGTTACACAAGATTCTTAAAGACTCCTCTCAACCCAACTTCCTCTCTTTTTTTAAATGACATCATAAGTATCAGCACCTGGACAGCCAGGTTCGTGTCACATTGGTCACCATGGTAACCAATGCTGTACTCATTCCAGGTTACAAGCAGCGGATCAAAAACATGTAAACAGTCCCCCTCCTAACCACTCAACTCCGTACATATTAAGTGACCATTCCTTCACAGTCCTAATACTGACGGTGAAGAGTAATGAACAGGATTGTTGCTTAAATTGACTGAACAGACACAAAGCCTGTTGGCAGGATGCCAGGCTTTCAGACCGACACAATCACTCTCCTGCCCATGATGATTTATTTTATGCAAGATATAATAAATGCCTGTTGTACCAGGTGGCCGTCACTCTGGTCATTAAGCAGGGCTCCATTAAATAGCAGCTAGGTCCGCAGTTGACCATCAGTAGACCTAATGAATAAAAAATACTGCTGCATGGTGTATTGTGCAGAAATGTACTGCAGTGATTGGTTCAGCCTGTCATGTTCAATATTTCATGACTGCAGACCTTTTAAATGTGGGGTCACTTTGTGATAACGAAATCAAAATATATTTTCAGGGTTCTTTTTATGTGAATAAACGTGCATATTTAGACGCAGGTTGTCTTTTTATATTCTGCATGTTAGACCTTGCTAACTCATTTTACTCTGTGTTGCTGCATCCTCCACTTCACTATGTTCTCTGTGTTGTTATTTGGTTTTGCATGGAGTTGGTTAGTTTGCACAGATGCCATGAGAAGCTTTGTGGATTTATGGGCTATGTCTCTGTGGAAGTAAAAAGTACATGCATTCATTTTCTTTTCATTTGGAGAATTGACATTATGTGTAATTACTGCTACAACTGATAAACCTAAGATTTAAAATGACCCGTTACAAAAAGACAAGGTCTGTACCTTTCAAATAGAGAAATGGAGTAAAGTTCAAGTGAGAGTTAGTTTTTACATATTATGCAGTAGTTTATGAAATGATGACAAGTACCCAAGGAACTATTGGATATACTGTTACAAACATGTAATGAATGTGGAGGTTATAAAGGATTATGTGACGAATCACTTCTAACAAAATCCATACAAATGTAGTTTCAGATGTATCAATATGCTGCTGCAGCTGTTTGGGTGTTTTTTATCACAGTTTTAACAGTTTGCTTACCAGCTAGTTGCCTCCAAATCTCTTTATCTCTTTGGCAGCTCAGTTGTCTATTCAACAGAAGGTTCTGCCAGCAGGACACAGACATTAAAGACAGATCATTGCATAACCAATGTTTAAAATAACCAGATGCGCACACAGATTGTATCTGAGGCAGATATTGCGATATCACATAGATGCATGTTATTAGAACACAGCTTTATCGGGTTGCTGCAAAAAGAATCAATGCTGAAAATTTCAGAAAGACTGAATCCTGCAGAAACACTGGTATACAGTATATTTATAAAAGTTATATAGAAATACAGTTTCTGGCACATAATCCTAGCAGTGAAATGGATTTAATTTCATAAAAGAAGAAAATTACAAACCACGAATGTGCACGTTCAAATGCACAATGTGCCATGATAATGGTGGAGAACATAGATAACCCTTGATAGATTCTCATGTTCTGAGGCGTTAGCAAAAATAGATAACAAACATATACGAGTTCCTGAACCTCTAATAGACATAAACTACTCATCCTCAGTGTCTGTCCTGCCAAGCTTGCCTTTATGTGGGTGTTTTTCTAAACTGCTGCCAGAACTGCTGTTGTCTTATATAAAGGACAGAGAAGGCTATGGTCTTAGCATGTGTAAAGAGGCTTATTTGATATGAATACAGTGGTATATAAAGGCAGATACGGGAGTGCAATTACACCTAATGGCTGGAAATGCTCCTGTTTAAGACATCTTGGTGTATGATGTCTGATTATGGGTGATCATTTTCTGCTTTTTGGTGAAAAAGCACAGCTCCCAGGTCCTGGGCTTTACTGATGATAGTGGTTCAGAACAATGGGCTATTGAAATGCATTGTCACTATCCCAGCTTAAATGTCAGAGGATAAGGCTGGCAAGAAAGGGCTCAACCAACACTAAGAGCAGCTGGTATGATGCTATGAACTGGAACAGCCCTTGAGTAGCCTTTAACCATCATGAAACATAAAATATATATACACTATAATTACAAACATGAGAATTTCACATGTGAAGAGATTGATTTTTTCTTGTCCCTGCAGTGTCTTAATAATGAGTTTCAAATTCTATTGATTCTTTTTAAAGTAGAGCTGTCACACATGCTGTCACAAGGCTCCTGTAATGACTAAAGTGAATGTTACACAGAAAAAACGGCAAGGCTTGTTCAAATATCAGTAGCAGAAATACATAAAAAGGGAAAAACTACTGTATATATTGTAAGTAGAATACAGCATAGAGTACATAACCCCACTGACAGCAGTGGTGGAATAAGTATTCAGATCCTTTACTTAAATCTGCAATAACTGATTTTAATTTTTTTATTTTTTGGCTTCTTGGAGGCAGTAGAATCAAGTTGTGAACATAAGATTGGCACATCACAGAGCAACATTATGTTTAATTCTGAGTTGTGTTTTGACCACCTGGTGAACCCAAGTTCAATATTCACTTATCTTTTAGCTTTTTAGCTACATTTTTGGTATCCACCAACTCCTGAGGGAAATATCTCACCCTTTAGCTGCTAAAAGCTTCACCATGTTCACTGCCTAGTTGCTTACTGTGTCTGCCTGCGGTTTGGTGTTGATCAGGTAATTCAGGGTTTTTAAATCTCGTTTGCTGTAAAAGAATTGCCTGTTGCGGCTGAAAACTACCCTCTGAGAGCTGCAGTAAAGTTGCAGGACAAACAACTAAACAATGAGCTGAAACTCACTATAAAGCTGCATAAAGCTGAGGGGAGCTGCAGATTCAAATGATAATTCTCTGCAAGTTCATCACTATGAGCAACCTCTTTCACATTTTCTCCTCACTTTCACATTCTCATTTGGATTTCATTGGATAGTTAGGTCTGTAATCAACATATTCTATAAGACAAAAAAACCAAACCTTCATAAAGTCAAGTCAATTTTATTTATGTAGCCCAATATCACAAATCTGCCACAAATGTTTTTTTACAGTCTGTACAGCATGCTGCTGTGGCCATGGGCTCGATTCCAACCTGTGGACCATGCCTTCTTTCTCTCTTCATTACTTTCGTGACAATCTACAGCTGTTACTATCACTTACAGGCAATAAAAGCCTCAAAACATATATATATATATATATATACATATAAGACCCTCAATTCTGACAACACACTCAACACATGCGTACAGAAAATGCAAAATGATAGCATGGATAATCAAGATGACAAAATTATAGATAGAAGATTGTAAACATATGTGAAGAATATGGATCTGGGAGCATGTCAAGCAACTTGCAGGCACCACCAAACACAGACCTCAGCCACAAGACCACCTCTCCACTATAGAGACCTAGAAAGAGGGCAGACAAACACACAAGAGAGCAAAGCTAAAGTACACCATTCACACACAGAGGGAGACAAGACGTGAGGCTGAATCTTTTGAAGGATGAAGATCCAGATCTAAAACATCTGGAATGAAGCACTGATAGATAGAGGTCACAGGAGAGCTGATGGTCCAGCACAGAGAAGCTGGAGAAGAACTGCAGTGGAATAAAAAGTACAGTATTTTCAATTGTGGAGGAGAAGTAGAAAAAGCTGCATGAAATGGAAATACTCTTTATACTTAATTAATGATAACAATCTCTAAGATTTACATCTAAATAAATGTCTATTAAGTCACTATCTATTGCCAAATGAAATAACACTATGGGGTGTCTGTGGCAACATTCCCAGTAAAAATGCTGTATTAAGTTACTGCTAATGCAAACAGAACATTATCTACTGCTGGAGCTTCACATTAAAGCGCATTTACCACCAGTAACAACACGTGTCACCAAGTCAACCAGGACTAAAATCTTAAGGACCATACATTTAAGCAAATGTACTCAGTTACCATTCCACCACTGACTGACAGTGGGCAGGACCATCTACTTGTTTTCTTATACATGACACAACACTGCATGATAGCTGAACTATATATGTAAAAGCATAAAACACCCAAATCTCCAACTGAACTGTCAGCGGCCGAGTTGCATTGTGGGCGACGTAGGGAACAGGTTTTGACAATAAAGAAGAATGAATGAATGAATGAATGAATGAATTAAAGAGATGATATCTCTGGTTCAGCTGCACTGATTTATAAACTGTCCATCACAAGCCGGCAATGTTCAACAGGAACGCAATGCTAAATCAGTAGAGTACTCTTTTAATACACTCATATGCTGCCTTCTTTTTGGGCAGTTGTGGCTCAAGGAGAAAGAGCGGGTCTCCTACTACATGTCGAAGTGTCCCAAAGTGTGGACCAGCAGCCCCGTTTTTACAATTTTTGAGACAATCAAGACACACACACACCAATAGTTTATTTGAAACAAACTTTAACAGGTGAAGGCCAGCAGGAAACAAGGGGTCAGACTGGAGACTTGAAGGGGTTGTTTGACTGCTGATGAAGACCGAGGCCACCTGATGAGTGTGGCTGAAGACTAGTGAACACTAGTGGCAGGAGGAGACTGGCTGGAGGCTGATGAGTGTAGGCAGCAAACTGGTGGGCTGAGGCAGGATACTGGCACACCACTAACAGGCAGGTAACAGGATTAACAGGCAGGAAATCAGAGGACAAAATCAGGTTGACAACGAGGGAACTTGCCAAACAAAGAGAATGAGCGACATACTGCCTTAAATAAACTATGGGGCAATGAGCAGTAACTGGGGAGTAATCAGGGAAATGTGTGTGTGAAATCACTCCCTCATTCAGTCTACACTTGTTTACTCTATAGTCAGATTACAATCTAGTAACGCTCACCTGAGTTAATTCCTGTATTCTTTTCATACTGTTGACACTCCAAAAGTAAGGACAAATTTACCATTCCCAAATTTTTGCTGACAACATCAAAATCAATCAATTAAGTCTTTTTAATGGCAGACATTTTGACTTGTCGCAGCAGGAACAGCACAGGTGCAAGTGATAACAACAATGGCGCAGAACACCAAGCCAGCAGCCAGTGATCCTGCAAGAAGAATAGCACAACTCCAGAACTGTCTCACCTACATACAAAAAAACACCATTATTTTCCTGCTTTAACATGTTAAAAAGTCTACATAGCAATTTGTCTGCCACTCTGGTTCATTTCAGACCTGCTATTCCCTCCCTGCCCTGCAGTAGTCCCCAGTATTGTCCCACCCTCAGCCATCACCTGTTCCCAATCACCTAATCAGCTCCCCTAGTATAGACAGGCACTGCAATCCTTGCAGTATGCTATCATTAACTGTGTTCACATGAAACTCTTTATTTGACTAAAAATCATCAGAATACGCTCACACTCGCAATCTTACTCAAAGAATAGAAATTTCTCATTTCATCTGTTCTTTTCATGCACATGTTCACATTCATGAATTAATGTGCTCTGTCAAGTGCTCTCTCCCATTTTGGTGCATCTATCCTGATAGGTGATATTCAATAGCTTTGTAGACAACAGCAGTATACTCATACTAATACTAATAATAGCGTCCAGTGCTCTCATTTTTCCCATGCTGGAGTACATTTACACATCCACTTGTACCTACAGTATGGAAGCTGGATTTCAAGGCTATGTGGGAACACTGATGAGAGAGATTAAACAAATAATGACCTTTTTGAACACAGGTGGGATAACCAGAAAGGCCAGACATAAACAAAGTGGTTTGGAGAGGTAGATCTAGTAGTTCTATCTTACTGCTTTGTCCTTTCAGTGAACTCTTCCCAAGCAGAGGGAGAGGCCTGCTCCTGTTTTTGGTAGAATCATAAATGCAAAATACTAAGTAAGTATTCTTTGCAGAGTTCACTTTTTTAATCTCTCATTATATCTAATAAGGGCAAACTTAAAACTTAAATGAACCCCCCCCCCCCATGCTACTAAAGGCGTATCCAGAATGATGTGATGTTTTTTTTAAATTCAATAGAAAAAGCAACTAGTTTTATGTGAAAACATACAATATTGCCTTAAACCTCTAAACTGCCTGAATGTGGAATGCTATCAAAGTAATAATCTGTGACATTTTTATCTAAATTGATTTCTCTTTCTGTTTACTGTTAATTTAGCACAATACTGAGTTAAGCCTTACCTGTTTCATAAGAGCTTTTACATGTGATTGTGTTACAGCTGTTCTATACGCATTACATGCAGCTGATTACAGGAAGAAATCCTCTAAACTGGTGAGTTTTACAAATGGAAATGTGTGCAACAGGAACATGGTTTTCACTTTACAAGGTTTTATTCAGATGCCATTTTCAGGCATGCTTCTTCTCTCTCACTCACTGGTCCGTTTGGTTTCCAGATATTTCAAATAGTCTAACGTTGCCAGACCTGCAGTACAAACAGTGTCTCTTTGTGATATTTGAGAGAGGTCTGGTCAAACTCACTGTCACTCTGAGATGTCTGAATGAAATTATCTGGGTTGTTAAGAATTGAACAACTGAGAATCATCAATGGCATTATTTCTGATCCTATTAAAGGGCCAGTTCATATATATATATATATATTCTCACATAGCATCCTCACATGAAGGTAGTTTTGGTTTTTACTTCCCAAGTAAGTAAAAAGTAAAATATTATAAATAAACAAAGGAAATTCTAAAAACTCAACGCCATAAAAGGCCATGAAAGTACTTGTTACAAAAATAATTAAAAACCTGTGACTTACAAGGCAATGTCAAAGCATCGCATAAATTAGCAGCATGTTTAACATTAACAGACAAGCTTCAAAGACAGGTTGATGGAATTTGAGGGTTCAGATAAAAGCAAAAATTTGAAGGATTTTGGTTGTGTTGAAGGCTGTTGTGTTTGAACTTCCCGATTTGCTTTAAAAAATGCAATTACAAATGTTTGTATTACGCTCTGAGCACCTGTTAAATTCAGAAGAGGCAGCATGCGATTTGTTCAAGGACAATATTCTTTCAGATAATAAAATGTACACTGCTGATTTTAGAAATTATTTCCAAATATTTCTTGGCATTCAGAGGGACGAAGTTTGAAATACGCCACTGAAAAAGAAACAAGAATTTTTTTGTATAGGCCTATAGCTATGTAGCAACAAGACCAACAAAAGGCAGTAAAAGATTATCAGAAGAGTCAAAAACATCAATAAATTATACAGTTAGTTAAGGAACTTTCATTTTGTGTTGGTTCTGGCAGCCCCTGTGGATAAGAGCGATAGTGTTTCCACCTCCTCCTTGTTTCACTGATTTTGAGGGAAAACCGATCAAATCCGACCCGGTTGCATGCATTAAGAATAACTATACAGAAATAGCCAATCTTTTTGGTGATGGTTTGGTTTGTTTATGTTGGTCATATAATTGAGACTGTTTCATAACCAGTTCAATACTCCTTTAGTAGGCCTATGTTTAAATAGATAATATGGAGTTTTAAAAGAAAAAAAATAAGCTTTATACTTTCCCTTTAGGCTCCAATAAATCGCCTATCAGTTATTAAAATTAAATCTTTGTTTATTTTAGGCTTCTTTTTTAGTGAAGTATCTGTTTTTGCACATGCAACAAGTACTTTTCCTGCCCTGTGATTATGATTCAAGACATTTCAAAGAGAGACATTTCCAATATTGTTGCTGTCTGACTGAAGCAGGCGCTCAATGCAGACAGAGAGGAGCCTCGCTGACCGGCAGCATCACCAGACTACTGTTTACACGGTTTCATTCATCTGTCCAGCAGGGCCTTAAATGTATTTCTCTGTGTCCTGTTATGTTGTATAGAGAGATAGTCAGATTTGCTTTGAGTGGTTTGTTATATGAGGCTATGAGGAAGTTATAGAATGACATCGGCTGCCTTTTCTTACATTTGTCAATATGAAACTGACAGCTTGTTTATCAGTTCCTCTGTGGTGCTCTGTTATGTGTTGGCCTGCTTCTACTGGCATTTTTATTTTATAAATATTTCTTCTTTTTTTTCTTTTTTTTTTTTTTACCATGTTTGCCTATATTTTATACTGCAGCAGGGGTTTGTTCTCAATTAAACAAAAACCTCCAGACATGTATCAAGACAAATATACAAATAGTTGGCAACAATAATGTGTGTCTGATATGTTTTTCTACAAAAAAGTATAATTTCCACGTTAAAATCCATAGAAAGTATTCTTTCTACTTCATTAAAAATTAAAAACTATGAATATGCAAATGTTGTTTATTCCTCAAGTTTTCCTGCTGGATACAAGATTTGTCCTACTTCACTGTAAAGTCCATTCTCAGTGTTTGTGCACTGGAGGCTTTAAGTCTCTACATCACACTTGGATAAGTTGCATACTGGACCAGGTTGACTATTTGTCATGTCACAAATCATGCTCGTAGGCCCCACCCCTTAAAAAACAGCTTTATAATAAGCACAGAGATACTGTCTACTTTGAGCAGATGAATGTGAAAACATGCTTCTTGTTTCAGACTAGCATGTACACGTAGATCATTCTACACTGTAAAGCTCAAACATCCAACTGTAGGAACAAGAGGAGAAACATATTTTTGAGTAGAAGGCTAATAGATTGTATGGAGAAAGTATGGAGAAAAATGACAGCTGTTTATTCGGCTTATTGGAGGACAATTTTCTCCTCAGAGGAAATGTAAATATAAATGTTCAAACAGAATATATATTATTTACTCCAGCAGTACGGCAACTGTCGCCTCCCTTTTGGAGATTTCTGTTTGACTGTTTAAAAGGATGATTTGCGTGAAAGTGCTAAAGTAATGACATTATATTTTTAGATTTATCTCGTCCCAGCTTTTTTATTTTTTCATCAACTTTCGCAGCTTCTGTAATTTCAGTGCAATTTCAGGCTCTGATTGCTCTGTTGCTTGAATACTAATCATTGTTATAACTTGTTTTCTATTCTGCTCTTTTTGCATTTAAGGAAAGGTCATTTAATGAAAAAAAGAAAAGAAATGAAAAAGTTACAAGAGGTTAGTAAACAGATGGCACTCCAAACCAAGTGCAGGACTGTGTTTTATAAAACCTTGACTGCACCACAGTTCTGTGAACTAAAACCACTTTGATTACATCTTGTCTGAAATTTGTCAGAGCACCAGCTTTGTATTGAAAGTCTTTCTCAAAATGGATTAAAATATTTAGTGAATGTCTGTCCATTATGTTATTAAGAGACTTTTTCAAGGGCTGTTTTTGTAGGTTTGATGTAATGACAGATCAGATTTTCTCTTAAGTGTCGAGGGTGAGCTCCTTCAAATATGTCCCTCAGAGTATCAGCAAGTAATCACAGAAATATCCCTGCTAATGTCAAAACTCATTAAGGCATACTGCATTATTACAGTTCCTTTTTAACTCATGTGAAGTGTCTTTGAGTTTCTTGAAAAGTGCTCTATAAATAAATGTATTATTATTATTACTATTATTATTATTATTGGCCTGTTCGTTATTAGGTTCAACCTGCTCTGAATTATTTTTCATTTCTTAATTACTGGCACACACGCACCACTGTGTTGGATAAGTAAGTTATTTGTTCCATTTAATCAGCGGTGTAGTGGTGCTTGGAGAAGTGGGTACACTCTTAATTTATGCCCTATTGTTTGTTTGTTTGTTTTTTA